TGGTGTATACAAGTGACTTGAAGTCATAAAAAGTATGATGCTAGACGATGTCAATGACAATGTCCTTTCTTCACTAGACGATTACTTTATGACGCCGTACGTTCAGAAGTTGGTAAGTAACCAACCAGCCTGCAAAGGTAGTTCTTGCGCCGAAGTATCAGCCGATGAAGTCAGATGGTCCAATAGTCAGAATTTAAAATTGAGGAATATTTTTTGAACTGGCCTATAGTGATACAAAATTGCGTAATCTGCAAAACTACGATTAATAGCTTTCCCACAACAAAATTTAATATGTCACGTTTTGCACAAAACCTGCGTTATCGGAAATAATGCCAAAAATTTACAATTCAAAAACAAGTAGTAAAAAACGTGGGAAGCCGTGGAAAAGAAGTTGCGATTTGAACTATATCAAATCCCTGTGCAGAGATATATGCTTGACTTTATAATAATAATAATAATAATAATAATAATAATAATAATAATAATAATAATAATAATAATAATAATAATAATAATAATAATAATAATAATAATAATAATAATAATAATAATAATAATAATATAATAATAATAATAATAATAATAATAATAATAATAATAATAATAATATTAATACGATGACGCAAACAACAGAACAACTACCCCGCACCCCAGCTACTAATGTGGTGGTTTGGGCGTGTTGGTACGACATATTGGAAGGCAACAGCACGAAATTTTTTTGTTGTGAGTCAGCGCTCTGTATGTGTTGTTGTTTGCATGGTTTCTTGTTTTTTCGGGCTGTTTTCTTGCAATACCCCAGCTTCTACTGTGCATTAATTCGTGACAGGGGCTGCCGAAGAACGGCCGTGGCATTCACGGCCCATGAGATGGCGCGCTACACAATTGTTCGGATGACATATGTTGCGATCAGATATTGCACTAACCTTTATTTCTGTTCTTATGAATGTGTTTGGGTGAAGGTGATGACAAAGACAAAAACAACGAGACGAATAAAAGAAGAAGCTAACAAAAAGCGAAAGCAGGTAGGTGCTTTTTATTATCTCCTTACCATACTTAAACTGACCGCCGCACAAAAAACTTGCCGTAATCAAGGAATTTCGATTTCCATCGCATAACTAAGGCAGTATACACAATTTTTTTGTCAGCTATAGCGAAGGCATCAGCTTCTGCTTTCCTTCACAGCCTGTTTCGTTCTTTTAGAGTATGTAAATTACTTATGCTTGAAAACTTCGGTCTACAGATTGAATTGCAATCAGCGTTAGATCACTTGAGCTAAAACAGGAAGCGAACAGAAAGGAAGGAGCAAGGACATACAAATACGAAACAAAATAATCAGTTACCACTGCACTTACTATGTATACCACTTTGATTGCAAAATGAATTTTTCGTATAACCAGTAATGTCTTTTTCACAGAGTTTCCAGGTTTCTGCAATCAGTGGGAAGATCTCGATCCCCTTCTGCCTGTGTGGGGCCAAGACATCATCAGCACAATCTTGTAATGTTACAAACACCAGGATGTTTACAGTGGGCACAAGAGCGAGAAATGAGGCCGATTGAGAATAGCTGTGCCATAAATATTTCAGTTCACCACTTCAAAAGACTTCTTCTAAAACGTTCACTGTTATACGTTACCCATTTGAAAGTGTATTCAATAAAACCTCCGATTTTGTCTTCATCAGTCATAATTTGTGAAAGTGTCATCTAATGACTGCTCACTAGCAGAGGCGAAATGATGGGTCTAAAACTTAATGTACAAAAGACCAGTACAATGTTTAACATTCTCTTAAAAGCAGTGGTTTGGAATAGGTAGGGGGACAATGGAAGGTGCAAATATGTTCACTTGGACCAGATGTACCACAGATCCAAAACATGAGGCAAGTAACAAGAAAGATAAGCATGTGGTGGAATGAATTTGATGAGTATTCTCATATTATGAATGAAAGGTGACCAGTGTAGCTCAAGGAAGAGTTGCGAAAAATCCAAAAATGAACAAAAAACCCCCAAAGAGAAGCAAGCCTATGGAAAAGCTGATTACTACGATCATTTTCATCATCATCTCTTACTCAGACATTTATTAAATGACATTTAGTATGCTAACCCCAAAAGTAGGTAGGCTCGTCAAGACGTATGCTGTCGACCAAGGCTCCCATGTGTTTCAAACTCCAGTTTGCAGGTTGAGTTCAATCTTTCCTCAAACTGATTAGTTCATCGAAAAACCGCCAGGTCTATTGAAAGCTCCGAATGGTAATGACAAGATTATTGAATGAAGGAAAGTGTAAAATTAAAGAGCTTGTTTCGTTTGTTAGACACAATATTATTTAGAGCTGAGAGTAAATAATTGCGAAGAAATAATCCCGCGGTTGGCATTCTGATGCTGCGCCATCGTGTACGCTGTGAGCCCTGACGCCGTGGGGCTCGAAGCATCGGCGCCTGTTCCAGCGCAGTGGCAACTGAGGCAACGGCACCTCTTCTCTCTCTCCGATCTACATCACTGCCCGACAGTGGCTTAACCAGGGCGTAGCACACTAAACCCATATGCCTCCCCCCCCCCCCCCCACCTTTCCGAAAGGCTTTCGCCATGGCATACAGAGCAAAAATTACTATATCAACGGGGTGCCTTCCTCCGCCCAAAATCTAGGAGGTGCCCTTCTCCCGCCCATCCCTTAAAAATTTTTCCGTGTATTTGCGTGCTTCGCTGCAGATGTCATTGAAAGACAACAGTCCTTTCTCTGGAGGCGCTGCGTGATATCTGAACACCATCAGGCAGTAATGTCGAGAAACAAAACTTGTGTAGAACGCTGAGTCACAGGTAGGTGGCAGCACCATGTAGTCTTGGGGAAGCATAAGAAATGCCCATTTTTTTCACGCATAGCACGGCATTGTCAGCGCAGCCTAAGAAACACTAGGGTCTTTAGAACTACGTATGTATGTATTTTCTAGTAAGGGAACACACCACCTTATACGCACGTAGGGATGTTGCGCCTCAGATATGCCTATTATTTGCTTTTTGTTCGACGATGCTCTCAAGTATGCACGCAGACACCAGTTAAAAATGACTGGGCATTCAGAAAATGCTTAAACTTTGGCCGGATGGCTGAATAGTGTGACATACAGACACAGAAAGATAGACAGACCAGCGTTTCTGCGTTCAAGTATCCCAAGACTACCCGTCTTTGAAAACAGGCCACTGCCCAATGCCAAAACAAAACAAGAAGGACGTTTCGGGACCTGTACTGATGCCTAGCTAGTTCACAGTGGAATGACGGTTGAGCAGCAGGATCACAGTAGAATTACGGCTGAGCAACCGAGTACCTTAGCCACTAGACCACCGCGGCCGAGCAACGCGAAAACGCGATGACGATGTCTTAATATCCTGGGTAGCGATATTCACTAGGACTGATTACTGCAAGAAATCAACTTCGGTCAGTTAATCCACTGAACAGTCAGGTTTAAAGAGAGCGGGAGCCCCAATACTTGATTGTCTTGAGATACATTTGGGAAACTCACTACGTACTTATGATGAGAAAGTTGTTCATCAGCTTCTTGTTCGGGAGTCACAATGTGATGTGCACGGGAGTGTTTTAAATGCTTAAATATAGGGTGCGACACAGCTAATGGGAACTACGGTTTTCTGACGGTGTCTTTGTAACCATCTAATGGCTGTTTATTGGTACTATTCTCCTTTCCCTAATTCCCCAGTGTAGGGGTAGTTAACCCGAAGTATACCTAGGTTAACCTCTTTGCGTTCTCCCTTTCTGTTGGCTTCCTTCCTTTCTTAGATAATTTCCCATCCTCCAATCGTAAAGACACAATTGGTACCGGATGTTAGGTTAGATATAAAACTTGTCGTACAGGTTATACCTGGCCAAAGGAATAAGCGACTAAAGAGAACACCCTCCTCTAGATTTTTAAAGTTCAAACATCTTTAGCGGCCCTTGCTGTCGTATGCTTTCGTATGCTGTGATCACATGCTGTCATGGTCATTTGTAATGCAAGCTTTAACCACATATAGCATAGCCAGCTGTAGCGTATTAAGCACGCTTCAAATGACTTCCCGAAGAGAAGACATCTTCCTCTTAGTTTTCGACGACCTTGATGATAATATAAATGACAGCTAAGCTCCATATAGCATAGGAATCTGTAGCAATTGAGCAATTACTTGCACCAAACAGAAAAATTCTACCACTTGTTCTTTGAGCACCTTGATGATGATTTTAGGGGCAGGGAACTTTAGGGGCCCGAGCTGTAATATGTTGTTGTTCGGTGTTATCGCTTAGAGCAACGCGAGCGAAACTACGTGTAAAGAATTGAAAACGATGAAGCAAGCGATGCATAGAAAGACAGAAAAAAAGGACGAAAACAGAGAGAAAAGTAGAAATAAATAAAGCTTTGAAAGAAAAAGACAGAAAAACTGGAAAGACAAAAAGAAAGAGAGATGAAAGAAAGGGATGAGGAAAGAAAGAGAAAACTCAGGAGAGACAAAGAAGGTTGCCCAGTTCCGCACTTGCTTCAGGCTTGGCACTGCTAGTGCGAAGATTCCATATTTTGTTTTTAATTTGGTCACGTCCCATCTTTTGCCCCTAGTTTTACCCGTAACTACACCCGACCAACAAGCTCTACAACCAGTATTTTTACTCGTGGCCTTTAGTAGTGTTTTTCACAAGAGTGGGAGCACAGAAACAATGCACCTGTTCGTAACTGCATGGGATATTGGCAATTGTTCTTCCGCAATACACAGCATTGTAATAAAGGGCAGTACGCGTTGTAAAGTAGGACAAAAGCAAAGGGGAAATAAATAAGATGAGACCAAAGCCACCACAATAGATCTCTGCTTGATCACGGTATCTTTGTCCTTTTGTGTTTCTATATTTCTGGAAATATTTGTCTTGAGCGTTTCCATTGTGTCAAACGTAAGTGTGCCCGCTATCCTACCTGAACGCTTTAAACAATGGCGAATTCACCCAGCTGAGCTGTTTTACGCAGGCAGTGTTACATCCCCATGCTCTCACAAGGAGTGCTCAGGCCCACCTGTAAAGCGCGTCATTTAAGGGGCCTGTGCTGGTTATTCATGGGAAATGAAGGTCACCTTCGTCACCATTGCACTTATTGCCGTCGTGATTGCGGTTATAGAAATGGAGCTCGCAAATGCAAAAAGTAAGTAAAAATAAAACATTTTATATTGCCGTTTCTACGATACGAGCAATCTCACAACAGCAGATCATCTATTCAACATCATTAGAAACCGTCAAGCATGCAGTTTCAATAGAAAGTCTTCTATACAGTAAGTTTATTAGGTAGACGCAATGGAACATGAGCTTACCGCCTTCAACATACATTATGGTAGTTTAAAAAGTTAAGGTATTGACACCTTTGAGTATTCTGGGAAATATTTTCGTAGGTAAATGGCTTGTTAACGAGTGTGGAAATACAAGAATAGTGAGTTGTGATTATTAGAACCGCAGGTTTAAGGTGCCCTGCCAAAGTTATGACGTTAGATTGGGTTGTTTAAGAAGAAACAATCGTTTTAGGCACCTGCACTGAAAGAAACGAAATTTAAACGCACCCGACCAAGTTATTCAACGAACTAAAACGCAGGTATTATTTCACAGACATGATAATATAATAACAAAAATTGTAAATTAGAACAAAGGTAGCTTTATGTAAGCTCAAAGTTGTCATCTTCTTCGCTGGACATGCGTAAATGTGAATATATATATATATATATATATATATATATATATATATATATATATATATATAGTCTAGTAGATCCTCCGTGAGCGGTCACAACGTGGTTTATTTCGACGTTTCGGCCTAGAGTCTGGCCTTCATCAGTCTGGCCTTCATCAGGTTTCCTGATGAAGGCCAGACTCTAGGCCGAAACGTCGAAATAAACCACGTTGTGACCGCTCACGGAGGATCTACTAGACTATATGCAACGCTACGGCCACTCAACCACCATGCCTGCCTATATATATATATATATATATATATATATATATATATATATATATATATATATATATATATATATATATATATATATATATATTTTTATATATATATATATATATATATATATATATGTGTGTGTGTGTGTGTGTGTGAGTGAGTCACAAAGTGTTTGTACTTCTATGAACATTAGTCACCAACATGAGGGGAAGGCGACCTGTATCACGAGGTCAGAGTCATTACATATACCACGTCAACATAAAAGCTTACATGCTCAAATTTATTAGTGCTATGCTAATATTTATTTAAAATTAGTTTTCTATTTAGTTAATGCTTGCCATTTTGAAACCCACACTCGTAGGGGGGAGGGGGGCTACAGTTGATTTATAAAAAATTGCCCCTGTATTTTCATGTTGCACTGCAAATGTTGTCGAAAGACGATAATAATACATTTGGAGAGACTGATTAGAACGTTTTTTAATGTTCTGTGGGGAAAAAATGGTGAATGGAATTTCGGAGGCGCTGCGTGATTTATGAGTGCCATCGGGCCGTAATCTTGAAAAATGAAAAAATGACCTCCGATATAGCAAAAACGCGGCGTGCGCGTGCAGTCTCGGAGGCCGTATTTGAAAAATGCAAGCCCACGGGTAGGTGGCACCACCATGTCGTGTTAGCAAAGCGTATACTATAGGAAACACCCGCCTTTTCCTGAATAGCGTAGCATCGTCAGCACCCTAATAAACACTACGGTTCATAGAATTACTCATGTGTGCCTTTTCCAGCATATAGGAACACACTAAAAAATATTGAGTGCTCATATTGTGCCTCAGATATGCGCGCAATTTGCTTTTTTATCGACAATCCACACATGTGTGAACGCGGAAACCAGATCTATATAAGCGGGAGTTTTCGAAGTTGTTGAACTTTAGCCCTTTCGGTTGAGACAGACAGATAAGTCGACTAACCGACGGACAAACAGACAGATAAGACTTTTGCGTTGAAGTATCCCAATAAAGACAATCGGCTTTCAAAAGCGTGCGCAAACCACATGTAGAGAAGTACGGGGGAATGCTACACGGAAACACCGCGATTCTGAATAGTAAACAACATTGTATGATGCAGTAAATATATTCACTTGATTTCTAGTAGTGCTCATTTACACGGAAGCCGCAAATGCATCATTATTGCATTAAGCTGTAATTTTAAAAGTAGAGCAGCTTCCCAGTTCCTGGAAAGAGAGCAAGTAGACAGGTTTTCTATATGTTCCAAATATAGACAAAAGCCTTCCAAAAAGAAACATCAAATATTTGAACCTCCTAGCATTAATTGATTGATATGAGTGGTTTAGCGTCCCAAAACCACCATATGATTATGACAGACACCGTAGTGGAAGACTCTAGCAATTTCAACCACCTGGGGTTATTTAACGTGCACCCAAATTCCAGCACACGTGCCTACAGGATTTTCGCATGCATCGAAAATGCAGCCGCCGCAGCCGGGATTCCATCCCATGACCAGTTGAACCTTCTATGTTGTAGGAGCGAAAAAGTAAATGTAGCAAAACTGCGTATTGGTACAGCCAAAGTGAACCTTGTGGTTTGTTGTGATACTTACATTGAAAATCGAAGAAAGCCACTAAAACGTCGAAAAAAAAATAATCTGAGAGGCAGAAGCAGAGACAGTGAACAGAGAGGTGGCTATTAACACCTGGCGCTTATTTCGAAACACCTCCTCTTAAGTCTGTAGAGAGCATGTGCAAAATTACCATACTACATACTGTACCATTCTTACCATGCAAATCATCTCAGCTCAAGAAAATCACCCTCTTTCCTAGACAAAAAACAAATCAGCTGCTCTTACACATTTGTTAGGATAAAATTTCTTGATACGGTTGGCCTCAACACTGTTTCACGCTGTGTCTTTGCCTTACCTACAATAAATACAATTCCACATGGGCATGCAGCCACACTGCTCACGATGTAGTGGAAAGATATCGCGAGTGACACAGGGTAAAAGATTTGCATACTCCCGCAAACAAACGTTAATGCATCATCCAGATTGTGCAATGTGTAGCTTATCACGAATAAGAAGAAAACCATTTTCCAACTAAGCAGAAGGTAGTAACCTTTTGCTACATTGTAAGCTGTGTGGCCTCTGTTTGTATGTAAATGTATCTATTTTAGGTAAGGCTAAGACGCAACATGAAAAGGAGGGAATAGACGTGTACGATGTGAAGAAACTTGGTCCAGATAAATGTGTAAGTGTAGCTTCGGTGTTTTTTACTAGGAAACAGTGCGATTTTTCTTTCTACATGCCTGAATGAATTAAGACCAGCACAGTGATGTATAGTAGGGCGTTCTTTCGCTTGCTCTGTACGGACTTAGAGGCGTTTTTTTTTTTTCGAAGTATATATCGGTTGCTAGCCACCTCTCTCTTAACTTTCGCTGCTTCAGCCTCTCAGCTTTTTTTTTTTTTTGAATTTTAGACGTTTCAGTGGCTTTCTTCGAGTTATGTGTGCATCAACGTGGCCAACAAGCAACGTGGCTAACCATTTTCAGATATGGTGCTCGTGAGTGCAGAACCGTTCTTGTTTGACTTCTATGTGCTCACTATTTCAGCTAAACCGGTATTCAAAGTCGGAAAACCTGGGGCTCGTGGTAAGTTTCGAAGCTGTCACACCAAGAAAGTGAAGTGATCTGCTACAAACACAGACATTACTGTCAGGAATGTGCCTGCAGCCGAGATGGCTGGTTGACTATTACCATAAAAATTAATATATATAAGTCACAATATTTTACCTTAAACAGATACATAAAGGAACCCAGTTGCCCACGGTGAGAATATCCGCACTATTTTTATTGCAACAACCCCTGTTGGACCTTGCAGGTGCATTTTTCTTCACTTCATTGCCATTGGCGTACCCATGATCTTTATATACACATAAATAAAATCGCACCGCACATTGTGTTTTCTATCTGTGAGTGAAAGCATGACAAGGATGCCAATAATTTGAGCGAAAAAATGTGCTGCGTCTGCGTACCACGCAGTCGAGAGGACCATGTGATCCCGGCAGCGTGCGCACTTTTTTAACTGACTGGACATTGTCAACCGTAAATTGTGCACGCCCTATCTTCAGTAGTTTAGTTTAATATTAGTTTAGTTTATTATGATCAATCAAGTTTAAATAGTTTAGTCGAGTTACATGGTTAGCGTTATTACAGCAGGAGGTCCCAAAGTTTTAGAGAAACTGACAGGGGGACCTCCTATGGCTACATTGATGGGGTAATTACAAAAAATACAGCAATAGCATACGGACTTGTGAGTAATAATGAATAAGCTTGATTAACAATAAAAATACGATCAATACACAACACAATGGTAATACTCACTATTGAAAAATAACAAGGAAATAGTCAGAAGCAAGTGAAGACAAAAAACAATATTAATAAACTCTACGTGACAAATGCAACACGTTTCATTATCAGTGTTATCAATTATACAAAGGCAAATTGAAGTAGTAAAATAGCACAGAAATGTGGAGAGCTATCAACAGTTAATTACACAAATCGGATGAGTTGATTAATTCCTGAACGTAATATTTCTTGCTGCGCGAAGTGAAATGCGTGGATGTTATTCGATGATTTCAATTCGAAAGGCAATGAATTCCAAATGGCTACGCTAGTAAATAAGGTTGAAAACTTGCCGTAATTTGTCCTTACGGCCGGCAAAAGAAAATCTTTGCACTGGGAAAACTGAGTGATGTTACTATCAGTTAGGTGACGATGATCAATACATGCAATAAAAATGTCATGCGTGATCAGTCTAAAGGCGACAATGGACCTTCTATGACAAAATAATTGTCTCAATGGGAGTATGTTAAGCTGAGGAAACAACGAGCTACAGGAGAAGTAAAATGGGCTGAAAGTCATTAATCTAACTGCTTGATTCTGAAGTCGCTGCAAACGTTCGATGTGCGTGAAATATGTGTTGGCCCAAGATGATACGCAATATGAAATATAACAGCAGACGAATCATAACTTTGTAAGTGCTGTGTTCTCACCACAAAATTTGCTGAAGCAGAATCACGAGTTGGGCGAGTTGGTGGATGTTCATTGTGGAATATTTTACAGCGCAACTGGTTAGATATGGACAGAGAAGGGACACAGTTGAGAGTTAAGCGCTGTGTTCCTTCTCTCTCCGTTCTAACCCGTTGCGCTGTAAAATATTCCACGATGGACAAAATTTGCATTGGAGCCAAGATCGTGCGAAGCCACCACGTCACAAGGCTAGCGTTTGGTTGATGTAATGGCAGTTTGTATGCTGTGATAAATAGCTGCTAGCCTTGCTTCGCATAATATTACAATTTGTTGAGCTAACATTTAGTGTATCACCAGTGCATCAAAACTGTAACTTTCTTTTTCTTTACCAATTCGAAATCATCTGCTTACACATGAGAGTAGCTAAAAGCATGAGTTTCTAGATTTTACCGTGTAATTAGTTGTTTTCCTTTACTTTTAATTACGTTTCCATTGCAAACTGTTTCTCGCAACCACTGCAAACATCCCAGCAGTTGTAGTGACTGATCTTCCCCATTGAAAAAAAAAGAGTTACTGCACTGGGCTCCTAAACTGTAGACCCAGCCACATTCGTTCGCTTTATTCCCCACGCTCCTATAGTTAAAGTACTGTTATTAGTCGAACGCGTATGAAATAGATAACAAATCATTCTGCTAACTTTTTTCTGGAATTTTATTCTTAATGTTATATATCGTACCACAATTCTCGCATTTCACCACCTCCAAAAACAGCAAAAAAAAAAACATCTTGTTTTAGAATTGCACTATCTCTCACAGAAGAGTTGTCAGGCTACAGTGAACCACCGGCATCAAAGGTTGCAATACTATTAAAGTACCCGAAAATACAATAAGACAAGAGTACTACGACTGTGGCATAACGCACTTATAGAACCACATTGAACGTAGGTACGATGAGGCTTTGCATGACGTCGGCTGATTAATGTCACATATTGTAACACATTTATAAAATTCATCCTGAAAAAATGAAATCTTTGTTTAAGGTAATCGACGCAGACCTGTAAGACGACCCCTAAGTCCTCGCCCAAGGAAACCGGGAGGTAGCGGTGAGTATAAGTAACCACATTATAGAGTATTCCAACACTTAGTCGTGAGACATGCTTGGGATGAGCTGAGGTAGGAAATCAGCCAGGTCAGTTGTTTCGGCAGCGCTGTATGGTTCTATTCTATTTACTATTGTGGCCTTACACTTCATGATGACCAGACGCATACATGCGCATATATATCTTCCCATGTTCGCACCACTATGCGACAATGATACAAGCATAATTTTCCGGTAAACATTTTATGCTTACGTTTCATCTCGATCCCAGAGAACCCAGCCATTTGCTATGAAAGCTTTGAAAGCACTGTTATGTTGAAGATTACAAAATTAAGATGCTAGCCCGAAGGCAAGCACGTGATAGGGGTGGTAGAAGGATTGACGCGTGCAGTGTTACTATGTGCCTAGTGGTGGAGATCAAGGGGTCTATAGGAGGTACTGGTAGTGTCCTGTTCTTCTAAAGCCTAATGTATACGAACGGGTTTCAGTACCACCAGGTTCAGCTGTTGAATTTTGCGTTTTGCGTCTTTCATTACAAAACAAACGGTTTTATGGCAGACGCATACACATGAAAAAGGTTGAGTTTAGGCATACAATTTTCCGTGGCTTTATTAACTCGTCGTCAATGAGTAGATGTCTGTAGGTAGCTGATCACTAGCAAAACGCTTGGCTCAAAACCATTTACGTATAATATGAGGTGGATATATGCATTTGTGTACACTGACTTGGAGTGGAAATGTATGGGGCTTACAAATGTCTACTAAACATGTGCTTGAATGACTGCTTATGACCCGCTGTAACGTAGGCACTGTCGTTATAGCACATGTGTCCCGATTTTCGCAACGAAAGTGATGCTACAACGTGGTAGGGTGTGTAGCGTACGCAGCTTTTTTAGGGTATTCCTCTGAGGTGGAGCCACACTTAGCCATAGCTTGCTGAGTAATGTGAGCACACATGTCATATTTATTGTAACTATAAAAGCAGATAACCAACACTGCAACTATAGGTGACGGATACCACAGTACTGTGCATGCATAAGATATTTTTTCCAAGGCAGCTTGAAGACTTGGAGGATCTATGTAGCAAGATGCTTATTCTCCCCCACCCCCCAATGCACCCATCCCCATTATCTTCTTGTTGATGTTTTTTTTGAGCAGCAACTTATTTATTGACAAATGACGAGCACATCCTGCAACATGCACGTATCTTTAATGCAGGCATGTGTGTTGCTATGCCTATGCTCACAGTTGCCAAACTCAAAGTCGACATGTAATTGTGACATGTTTCGGTTGAGTCCGCGGAATGATGCCGTGCACTCAACACCAATATAATAAATAAGAAATGCTTATTCTAGCGCTAGCGAACAGAGTAGAGGTTGCATGAAAATAAGAAACTGTAAAAAGAAGAAACACGAGCACGACGCCCCTGTGCATAGTATTCATGTCAACAAATTTTATGAATGTCGGAAAACAGTGAATGGAAGCAACATAGCTTGCGCTCTATGGACAAATCTACTGCTGCAGTTGATACTTGTATACATGGTCAAGAACTATTTTATGCTTGCTCGTAATGCCCCTAGGAACATCATGAAAAGTTGAAAGTTAACTTCACGCGTTTGGGAAATAGAAATCAATTTGCAAAGACATTATGGTGTATGTTCCTCGACATCAAATGTGACCAAAGATTTGCGGAATGCCACTGCCCTTGCAATTGTCAATACACAACATGTGCATTCTTCAACGCCTTGTTTTTGCTGTCAGGTGAACTTATTCGTAATGTGAACTAACTAAACTGCTTAACTAAGCACACAAGTTTACCGAAATTCGCTAACTTTGCCGGTGACTTTCCATATAATTTTTTAACTGTAATGAAAGAGGAACAACCCAAATGATGGGGGCTTATTAGATAATCACGAAATATGACTCAGACATAGTTGGGGGTGAGCGGTTCACCTAAAGCGTTGCATATAGGGCATGATATATCCACACAGTTTGTGGGAGTGTGCATACTCCATATCAGCACGCGCCTACATTGATGGCCGTTAAAAGCAGGCTGTGGCTATAAGCACAATGAAATGGTGGAGGAGGCCTAGGAAATTGTACTTAGTGGAACAAGGTTTGAGAGGTCGGGCTAGCCAGGCGCAAATATTCAGTCACTTCATGTCTTGGAATGATTTTCTCCGCAAATATATCAGTTGCAGTAATGAAACGCTTCTTGTGATATACTTAGGATTATATGAGCCTCGATTAAAAAAAAACGTTCCCATGCATAACAAATCAGGGCCTCATGCACGCTAATTTTATGTATTTTCTCAGGTCCAGGCAAGCATGTAAAGCCGAAGGGGCCTACAAGCACAGCTGGTTCAACGAATGCGGGTGAGTGCAGTTGTTGCCTGGTTGAAAGATTGTGTTCCGATGAAATCCATGGTATTTGCACTGTGATATGCGAAGCGTTTTTTTTTTTTTTGCGTTTCAGTGACTGCTCAACATATCTAATCAACTCTTTTTATGCGAACTTACTATGGAGCTGTACACATTGAAGAAAGACGTATAAATCACATTAATGCAAACTATCAGCTGTTGCATCAATGGAAATGATTTATATGCAGTGTAACACACACAGCGAGTGCACGCGAGAATAATTGATCATGTTTAACCAACTGGCCCGTTGTAAAGTATTTCTTTATCACATGAAGTATATAGTTCTTGTGCTTACGCTCTATGCATTATTCGCTCATTCTTTGCGGAGGCTAGCGGACATACTCTGCATTCAGTAGAGTCCCCGTGTGAAGCGTTCTCGCGCCTTACTTCTTCTAATTCCGTTTTCATAAAGATTAACTTAAATTATTTAGCAGTACAATGAAATGAGCTTGTTGGTACTGGCTCATTTTGTGACAGCGCAAAAAGGACGAGGAAAACCTAACACACACAAACAACTGAGGACAGCACTATCAACTGGAATTTTTTATTCAAGAAGTGAGTTCATGTAAAGAAGGTCATACTTTGGCACGTGCGCCAATAATCGCGACGTAGTTGCCTTTAAAAATGAAATACAACAAAACTTGAGCTACAGGGTTGCACCGGGTCATTTTTCTCACCACTTACCCGAATCGCTGTAGTTCGTACTTTTATGCTGAAATTCCATGGCAGATTTGGATCAAGTTTTCCTGCTCGGGGTGGAGCAATCTCATTCCCATGACAGATTGGGAGCGTGAATCGTGTGCTGGAATGGCAGATTCAGAACAACCACAGATTATGGATTGCTTCGTGGAGCAGAAATCCTTGCTCCACCGAAATCAGTAGGTTTGACTGGAAAGTTCACGTGACTTATTCTGTGCGCCTGCCTTTCATCCCATCATGGCAACATGTTGACAGTTGGGGGCATCCATGGAGGACCATAAAAATGTTCCTCACCCCCTCACACGCTCTCACACCCCCCACGCTCAATATCCGTGTACCGACTCCTATCGTCGAGGCACACCCATTCTAATGGCAGATTTGGCGAGAGCAATCCTTTTCGTATCTATGTGCTAATTGCGACCCAGCTGAGCGCTCGCATCTGCCATTGAAATTCAACATTAGGATCTTAGAATATTTCTTGTTTCGTTACGCTGTTTCAAAACGACACTATTGTCGTACTCACCCGTGTAAATGTTTCAGTGATTGATTGATTGATATGTGGGGTTTAACGAATGTTTCAGTGAATGTATTTGTGTCGAAAGAATGACAAAAGCGTCCCCATCATTATTTACAAACACCTGCGTTGTGTTAGGTGATTCCATCCCCTTCAAGTTCCGCTTGCAAAGGATCAGAACATTCGGCCACGTGTGCTGCTGCTTTAAAAGATGAAGGGACAGCGACGATTATGGTGGCTCTGCAATGGCACCGTTGTCGCTCGCGGCTGCCCATAAGCGGCAACCGTGTCGCCTGCTTATCGTGGTCATGGGCCACCACGAGGGACACCACAAGGGACACATATCGTTTGTACGTGTGACGTTAGGAAGCATTGCAATCACTGTGCGCGAGCGGGCGCTACACGTGGTAATTTTTGGTGTCACGTCGGTATCTTCAGTAAGCAAAATTCAGAATTTCAAGAAAAAAGTTGGAAACTGTGAAGCTGCACGTTTGCACACAGATGTAGCCTTTTTCTAACAGGCATTTGCTGCCCAGCTTCGTTGTTCAAGGAGCTCCTTAATTATTCTTGCCTAAATAAGAAATTAGAAAGAGCCCTGCCATAGTATTGCTTACTCATAAAAATAGTGAGCAACATGCATTTCACAGCGTCGTCATTAAGTTCGTTGGCGTATTTTTCACAGCTACCTAGGTCATCTATAGTGACTCTAGGCCAGCTATTCACGCTTTCGAGCGCGGTGTAATCTCCAAGAAAGCCCTGCGCGTGCTCCAAAGTGGTGGCCGCGACGGCATCAAGCACCACGTACTGATTTGGTTTCCTGCACATGTTGGACACGTCCAAGGCGCCCCCCCCCCCAACTTCAACGAGTCTGCCCACGAGGCCGCGCGCGCACTTACCGACCGCGCGGGTTCCGGGCAACGATTCGGGGCCAACGGGGTTGCGGAAAACAGGGACGCGCCTGCCACGTACAACGAAATAACAAAATATTTTTACCTCGCGCGGAGACTATATCCACTCCCTCATCCAAATCTTAATAGGCCACAAGCCCTTACGCTCAGACTACTGCAGACCGACACGTACCCTAACCTGAGATCCCTTCACGCTATTTATCCTGACGTGTTCCCCAATGACACCTGCCCCGAATGTGGGGATGTATCCACGCTGGCGCACATGCTCTGGGAGTGCAAGGCAATGTACACTAACCCCAACACTACATCGGTCAGGTGGGAGGCGGCCCTTCGCAGCTCCCTCCTGGCCGACCAACTTTGGGCCGTCCAGCAGGCCCGCGGAGCGGCCGATAGGCTTGGCCTAACGGTCCAGACGTGGGAGTCACCCGCTGCACGCTGACGCGCGCCTTGCAGGACCACAAGAAAGTTTCGCAACCAACAAACCAACCAACCTAGAGTTAGCTGGCCATGTGCTCAGATTTATGTGCACGTTAAAGAACCTCAGGTGGTCGAAATTTCCGGAGCCCTTCACTGCGGCATCTCTCATAATCATATGGTGGTATTGTGACGTTAAACCACACATATCAATCAATTAGAGTTAGCTGGGACACTCTGCTTCTTTCGCTGTACATCCCTGTGTAACGTTGTGCAGACACGAATCATCGCACATGTAGCGGAAGGTAGAGGAAGAAGAATGCTGCTACATCGAATGCGAAACCCAACTATTTTATTCAATGGCTCGTGCATGCCTCCTCGTGCCTGTATCCACTTCATTGTCATTGCTGCGTCACTATCATCAGCACGCGACACACACATATATTATTACAAAACACAATATTAGCGGAAGAGTGTTTTGTGCAAATGTTGTTATCCCGAAAACGCCCATGGGAAGGGTTCCAGAAAACTGCGACGTTAAATGTACCTATAGCCGCTGTAAATTTTCATCATATTTGAAGAACTTCTCCCAGCTGATTTTTCATTCCAAACTTCTGAAAAACTAATGAACTTTTGTAGTGTGTTTATAAAACAAACCTGTGTATTTATCTTGTTATCTGTTTATCTGTTGACTTATTACACATATAGGCGGTGGAACTGAGAGCATAAATTCGCAAGGAATGAACGGCATGGGTGAGTGATCCCACTTTTTCATAATTTGCCTTTATTTAAGGAAAACAGTGGGCTTCCGACACTGATATTTGTCGAATGGTAAAGTAAATATTAGAATGGCCCCAGCTTGAAAGCAACAAGAAGGGCCAAAGAAAAATTTGTAGAGAGTGGGTGGATGCTAGAGCCGATGTTTCCAAAAGTGAACTTGTCATCTTTACGATCGCAGCCTTGAAAAAGAAAGTCCGCTAGTCGAAACGTCGGCTCCTGTCACACAAAGCCTGTTTACGGATTTCTCAAGGCCAGCTTCAATTTGCCCCTTCTTGTCTTTTTTCAGGAGGTGCATAATCATTATTTCGATTTGCTGCCCATTTTGTTGTTCTCATTTACTAAAATATTCCATGCTTTTTTTTGACATACTTATTCGGTACACATGCTTCGGTCTTATTTGAGTGTTGTTAATTCATTTCTCACTTTTGCATTGGACGCCAGTAACATAGCTGAATGGCAACTCACGCTCATTTCACCACACTTTTCATTTACAATGAGCTCTGTAATGGCGAGGTAATTTGTGGCACTTTGCAATTGTTAACAGCCATCTTGCATACGGGAGACTAGCATTGAGCAGTAATGTTACCTTCGAAGATTCATCAGTGCTTTCTCAGCTTTAAACACTTCCGGTCATCATCATCATCATCATCATCATCATCATCATCATCATCATCATCATCATCATCATCATCATCATCATCCTCCTCCTCCTCCTCCTGACTACGTCCACTGCAGAACAAAGGCTTCTCCCATGTTCCGCCAGTTAACCCGGTCCTGTGCTTGCTGCTGCCAATTTATACCCGCAAACTTCTTAATCTCATCTGCCCACCTAACCTTCTGTCTCCCTCTAACCTGCTTCCCTTCTCTGGGAATCCAGTTAGTTACCTTAATGACCAGTGGTTATCCTGTCTACGCGCTACATGCCCAGCCCATGTCCACTTCCTCTTCTTTATTTCAACTATGATATCCTTAACCCCGGTTTGTCCCCTAATCCACTCTGCTCTCTTCTTGTCTCCTAAGGGTACACCTACCATTTTTCTTTCCATTGCTCGCTGCGTTGTCCTCAATTTAAGCTGAACCCTCTTTGTAAGTGTCCTGGTTTCTGCTCCGTAGCTAAGTACCGGCGAGATACAGCTGTTATGTACCTTCCTCTTGAGAGATAGTGGCAATCTACCTGTCATAATTTGAAAGTGCTTGCCGAAAGTGCTCCACCCCATTTTTATTCTTCTAGTTACTTCAAACTCGTGGTTCGGCCCTGCGGTTATTACCTGCCCTAAGTAGACATGGTCTTTTTTTCTGGTATTGTTAGCTGACTCAATTCATTTTAAGCTGATCCTGCCATGCCAAAAGGGTTCGCCATTAATGGAAAGATACCATAGACAGCGTGTAGAATAAAAAAAAAAAGACCGAAAAAAATGAATTCTTGAAAATTAAGATAAAGTTTTTATTCAGTAAAAAGCATTTTGCTCGCAGGCCTATGGCTTACGTGACCATTACATTCTGCTTGTCTTTGTTACCGAAGTACTTTGCTACTGGTTAACTGTAAAAGGTACTGATTTGACATAAAAAGTAATGACTTAGGAAGTTTCATGATGAAACACGCGCTAAAAATTGCACATACTCAGAGAGAACACAGACGAACGCTTCGTCTGTGTCCTCTCTGAGTGTGTGTAATATTTAGCGCTTGTTTCATCATGAACCTTTACAAACACGCCCAACTGGCAGTCATAGACTTAGGAAGTGTTCATGGCATTCATTTGAGTTTTTGTAAGTGCAGTATGCTAATGCAGGTGTGCTTTGTTCTTAACAGGAAATGGAATGAATGACATCAATATGATGGGAGGAATGGGCAGCATGGGCGGTATGGGCGGCATGGGAGGCATGGGAGGAATGGGAGGAATGGGAGGCATGGGTAAGTACAAGAGCACCATCTTTACGGAATCAGTTGTAATGCACATGAGCTGTGAAACTTTGAAACAGTGACTAATAAAGAAGATTCACTTAGAGTCGGTCTTTGTACAGAGTCGGTCTTTGTACGCATTAGAAAGCTTTCGAATCAGAGACCCAACATTCCCCATCTGCATTCGGTAGACTGTTGGTGGTTTGTAGAGGAGCATCAGTGTTCGATAATTGAGTCAAAAGGAGGAAATATTGATTTTAGTGTTCTGGATCCGGTTTCTAAAATTTTGAAGCACTGTCTCGTCTCATTGTTTTCCTTTGTTCTTTTGCACTGTTGAACAATGAACGCCATCCAACTCACCCAATTTGCTATGCTTTCATCGATGTTTCACTTAGTGTAGGCAATTAACTTTCTAGACGAATTTTGTCATGTGCGTTATCAGTGAATTTGGTAAAGTGATTTCTGTGTCACTTGAATATGAGAGCAAATTGCATATAGGGGTACCTGCTAGGGACGTAGCCAGGAGGTGGTGCACCCGACTCGTGCCCATACATAGAGAGTGATAAACGAACATGCCAAGTGAATACCCCTCCTTAAATCAAAGGGTGCCCCCTCCCCACCACCTCCCCCCCAAAATTTCTGGCTACACCCTTGGTACCCTCAGTTTAAAAATTCGCCATTGAGGTTTTTTAACCTAGTCATGCGTCTCAATTAGTTCTTCAGCAACTATTAGACTAAAACAATTGGTCACACGAACGCATAACTGAGCAGCGAGGGTATGTTTTCCAGCACTTCATATGACACCATCTCAGCAAATAACCAAATGCGGGGTTACACTACAAGACAACTTAAACGTTGTTAACGATGACTACAGCGACGCTTTTGAGCTAGAAATAATTGTAAGCGTGGACTCTCAAAAACACTTCTTGATGTTTTTCTTAGGATACGGAATGGACCCATACGGAATGGGATACGGAATGGGAGGAATGGGAGGCATGGGAGGCATGGGAAAAATGGCCAAGGCGATGCGTAAGTCATATTGTTCATTGTCCGTCCCTGTGAATCATCTTGCAGTATTGGCTAGAAAAATTCATGTTTATGAATTGTAGGCCATGAATACACTAGGAACTCAATTAAAATCAATTTTGTCCTTCAATTCGATTTTGACATTGACAAAAACTTTGGCACTAAACACATTATTTAATTTCGAATTCAGCCATTCTTGGCGAAACAAAGGCCATTTGAGCCGTATCTATCTATCTATCTATCTACTCTAATCTATCGATCTATCTATCTATCTATCTATCTATCTATCTATCTATCTATCTAGCTATCTATCTATCTATCTATCTATCTATCTATCTATCTATCTACTCTATCTATCTATCTATCTATCTATCTATATCTATCTATCTATCTATCTATCTATCTATCTATCTATCTATCTATCTATCTATCTATCTATCTATCTATCTATCTATCTATCTATCTATCTATCTATCTATCTATCTATCTATCTATCTATCTATCTATCTATCTATCTATCTATCTATCTATCTATCTATCTATCTATCTATCTATCTATCTATCTGTCTATCTGTCTGTCTGTCTGTCTATCTATCTATCTATCTATCTATCTATCTATCTATCTATCTATCTATCTATCTATCTATCTATCTATCTATCTATCTATCTATCTATCTATCTATCTATCTATCTATCTATCTATCTATCTATCTATCTATCTATCTATCTATCTATCTATCTATCTATCTATCTATCTATCTATCTATCTATCTATCTAAGGGGGCGTCCATCTTTCTTTGTAACGCGTAAATCAAACTTTAAGTCCACCCCAGTTGATTAGGGACAGTGGTGCTCGGCTGCTGACTGGGAGGTCATGGGTTTGAACCCGACCGCAGCAGTCACACTTCGATGGAGGCGATGTAGTAAAGATGCGTGCTCTGGGATGTCAATGCCCCTTAGCGAACACCAGATGGTTATAATTTCTGAAGCCTTCCACTACGGCCTCCCTTATTATCATATCGTTGTTTTGAACAGTGCACGAAAGCCCGCTGTTTACGAACTGCTTCATCCAACACTGGCTTGGGAAATGTCAGTTTAGTTTTTACTAAACTTTGCAGGAACGCTGAATAGCAAATCTGTTTTCTTTCTGCATTTTCAGTCGGGACGACATTGGCAACTTCTGTGGGAACAACACGTAAGTGAAACTGTCGCGAAACAAATTTTTTGTCTGGTGCATAACGGCAACTAAATAGTGGGCTGCTAACGCTTGCTAATTACTTCTTGCTGTCACTCTGAATTTTCTGTAAATGCTTGTGTGCTATGCCCCAGGAACAATGCATTACGACACAAGAACGCCGACAACGGGACTAAGAACATAAGATGACACAACACTTTGCCTTGTACGTTGCTCACCAACCGACCCAACTAAAAACCCTTGTGAAAATTCTTTTTCCTGTACCGGTTATGCCCTCGTGTTATACTCCCCACATCTTTGTTACTTCTGGCAATACTTAGAGCATTGCACATTTATTTTGTGGAAAACTGTGTAGCAAGGTACCATAAGATGCTAAAGGTCTATATTGTGGGAATTAGATAACTAAAAGGATGTGACTTCCTTCATGGGGCTCCTTATTTGCTGTTTTAGTATCGTCGTTCTGTCCATAAGCATAGGGTACCATAAAGTTCAGGGGTACTTGGCTGGGGCTCGTAATGACATTAGCGCTTCTGGACGGCGAAAAGAAGATGGTGCATATGCATGATTGCTACTTAAGCCTCTGATATTCACTTCCAATAGAGATTATAAATTATTGTGAAAAAACGTGAAGAATGTAGAAGAAAATTCAGCAAAGATGTAAATTTTTAGCGGGCAGACGCCTGCCAAGATGAGTAAGATAGGGTACACTAATATCACTATGAAATAATAGTGGCGCGTGATAAAACACTGAGCGTCTACCGAGCATGGCGGCGCCTCACGTAATTGCAGGTGAAAACGAAGCATTAGGGGTTGATCATCGGTGGGCTCAAGCGGCTGATATGAAATATTTATTTGCATTTAGCCACATTTCTTGTTTGTCCCACTGCAAAGAATGTGGTCGCGCTGAAGAAAACAGCCAATAGCTGATGGACTGGTTTCCAGCTGCTGTGTAGCTGACGGGAGCATTGAGAAGGTTAGAGCAAGCGATTTCTCACGGTTTTTGCCAATAAGTGGCTAAACATTAGGTGCGCGGGGCGCATGCAGTGAAATTCCGTTCATATGCACAGAGGATTCTCGTCTCGAAATGTCTGTTCTCTAGATTCGTTCAAAAAGGTGTTTGATGTATCATTTAAGACGTGAACAAGCCCCATAGCTGCACACTTGTTGCCTTCCCCTCCATATAACCCTGGCAAATGTGACAAAATAAACAATTAATCACATATAATACAGTGCGCTGACTATTTCGTGCACTATCCTAAATATAGTATGTTAACATCAAGAGCATCCTGTTTTTTTTTAATAATACCTGCGTTTTTTTTTCAGTTGCTTCGACCGGTACAAACATAGCAAACACGGTCTTCGAGCATCAACGAAGTGCGGGTGAGAACTTCGTCGGTCTTGCATCATTTCATCAATAGTGTATTCAGTTGAGAGATAGTTTCACTGAATGATGAGGCTGAATCTTAGCTTGGAGTAAATATTACCATTTAATTTCGCTGTAGTCAGGCGAACACTTTTTTTTTGCTTACAGCATTCTTGTTTCCTTTCACATCATTATTTTATCTCGCATATCAGTATATTGGTTGACGTAGCCAAGTATCATGCATAAAATTCCTGCTGAACTGTAAATAAACTCAGTTGTGAGCTACTGCTCATCTGAGTTTTGTGTGTTTCTTGTTTTCGTCTAAGTCGCGCTGCATTTGTGCGACTACATTGAAATTCTTTTACATAGTTCTGAAACAGACCCAGCAATATTATTAGGTGAAAGTGCCATACAGATATGCACCAACGCATCATAGAGTAGCCATATTCAGTCACTGCAAGAAGTAGCTGCTTTCATTTTTGCAAAAAAAAAAAGCTTTACTTACCCTCCTCGAATCTGCTGCTATAAAAGTAATTACCTCTTGGCAACTTACGCATCCTACCAGACTTCATGGCTTTTTCATTGGAAGTGAAAACCGTCTGCCCCGTTGGTCATACTTGCGATCAGGGTGACCTACTTAGTTTTTACTCGCTGTCTTGATTGCCCTGAGCGTTTCCGCTAACTTGTGCTCACTGTAAGGCACGTTTCTGTGCTCGATGTTTGTTGCCCATAACCCCGTTTTCCTGATAGTGAAGCGGTGTGTTTTTTTTTTTCGAAATGTAATACAAAATGAAGCTCTGTGGGCACGGAAGTGCACTCATGAAGATATTATATATTTTTACTTGTTCTTGTTGAAGCCGGCAAACAGCCAAAACGTTAAGTAAAAATATGCGATTTCCGCACACTGTGCTGCATTCATTCCTCCAAAAAGAGAGACGGGAAAAAAGAAATGCAGTGTTCGAAAAAGAGGAACAAGTGTAGAAGCAGATCTGTGCAGCAGTCTTGGCCTGTATACGTGAACCCGGCAAGCAAGTTGCTTTCACATCTCCTGCCATGCCAGAAAAAAAAAAGCATAAGAAGACGTCTTATGTCAAAAGCCCTGACACGAAATGAGCTACTACAATAGAAAAAATCTTGTTCTTTTTGCGTTACACAATTATGTGATGCATCATATCATGTGTGTGGTTACATTTCTTGCTGAATAAAACTGAAGCGTATTTTTTGCTCGACTGTCTTATAGTCGGCTATACTGATGAGAATGAAGTTTCCAGTGACTATTACCACGAAGCACCAACATCTGTTTACTCTTTTCTTGTACTCTGAGCAGCTCTTCAGCAACAATTTAAAGACACTGTTGAACTCCTTCGAAGAAGAAAGTTGCCCTTTGGCGAAAAAAAAAATTGCCATAGTTGTGATCAGTTACCACAACCTCAATGTCACCTTGTTAGCAACTGAAATTTACATGGTAGCATTAGGAACCAAATTTTTACCGAAAGTACCGGTCATAAGTAATCATGCCCCTTTACTCGCTCTAAGACTTATAGTAAGACAGCTTTCGGCAACGTTAGCACGGTTAAATGACCAGCTGCTTTCAGGGCAGTAAGTTTTGGAGTGCCGGAACGTTCGGCCTTCTATCCACAAAGCAACAAAGGTGCTGCTGAAGTTTTTGCGGTCTACCGGACTCTCAAAATGACTGTGATACTTCCGCGGTTGAGTGTATGCGCATTTTCTTTTTTCCTTACGGATTCCTTTTTCTTCCCATTTCCTCTTTTACCTTTTCATACCCATTTCCCTCTCGCCGGAAAATTTCTTCTGGTTAACCTCCCGGCCTTTCACTCAACATTATGTTCTCTCTTTCTCTCTATAGTAAGTGTGGACATACCGGTATTATCATACATATACTGCAGGTTGTACCACCTTTCGGGCAGCACTTACGCCGCATTCAATTTAAACGCTGCTAGGCAGAAGGATAGTACGAGTTCAACTCAATGTTTTGCTATGTTCATATGCTTTTGAGACCGAAAGTTTTTTAACCTCAACTTCCTCCATAGCTCTTAACGGCGGGGGTACCACTGATGGAATCGGAGGAAGTGCAGCCGATGTAACTACAGATGGTGAGTACTATCACACAGTAAAGTTTAGCGCGGACCTTAGCTTGACACCAATATATAATTGCCTCTATTGGACATCCTTCGCTGTATTTTTTTTTCAACCCGGGTGAAGTTGTCGTGCAGTAGAAAGTTTGGAACACAACTTCTTGCCTCTCATTGATTCTGCAGGACAAGGCCAGAAAAAAAAAGCTGAATCATTTCCACGCAATTTTAGCTGTTCTTGCGCAGGCTGCTATACCTTTAAGATTGGCCCGGCAGTGAGCTGTCAACGAGGTGCTCTCTTCTACTTTAAATGCCTAGATTCAAGGGTCGACAATCTGCGGTCTGCTGGCCGCATGTGGCTTGCTTGGTAGTAAAATCATGCCCACGTCATGATTTTAGAACCTCACTCCTTCACTTTGACCCATCTTATCTGAAAACCCACATGGCATTTTTAACCTCAAATACAATTGGACAAAAACAAAAAGACAACTTTCATATGGCATAGCTTCCGTTCACACTTAGCCAGATAGCGTCCTCACTTTCCTTCTTAGCACAGATAAAAAAAGGGGGGGGGGAGCGGGAGGGGGAGAAGAAAACATTTTTGTGAAAATAATTCGTCAGAGCGGGACCTTAATCAGACAAATGGGAAACTCCTGTCTGGTATGTGTAAATGCTTTACAGCTGATATTCAGTATTTTATAACAGGAGGCTATAGTTAGTCTAATGTTTGCCACTTCCCTTGCTGCAGAAGTTTTGAAGGAGATACGAGTACCTTAATCGCCACAGAAAAACTTTGTCATTATTTACGGGATGCAAAGAAAGAATTTGAAGTTTGGTTCTTTTATTTAAAAAAAACAAATAAACAAACAAACATCTGAGTAGCATCGAATTCTTTCGGCATCATTTTAGAGGCGGGAATATGTACCAGTTGCTGGCCGATCTGTAAAAAGACGGTCAGCTCAGAAGAGTCCTCTGGTGTGATAGGCCCTGTGAAGTATTACGCTAGTCTCACATACTCAGCGTTTAGAAGTTTAAAGAAACCATGAGCAGCCGCTACAACAGGATTGAGCAGTAAATGCATCTGGGAGCCAACTTTTAGGATAATAAACTACATGAACTCAAGAGCAGTGTGACATCTGGCGCCGAAACCGTGGCTTTTTTTGCAATGACGGCCAGTGCCGCTGGAGCACACCGTACTACTGTCGCACCACCTGTCGAATACACTGGAGTAATTATTGAGAAGGTGAGATACAAAGCCTCCAAGATCGGTAATTGCAGTTGCCGCACTGGTCGTGAAATGTGTAAGAACTACTTGTAAAATGTATACAAAAGTGGAAGAGTATTCGGCATTGAGTGTTCCTTTTTTTTAAATCGCGACTACATACTTTTCTAACTGGTGGGGGGGTGGGCGGGGGGTGCTGATTGGTTTATTGAGAGAAAAGAGAAAAGTGAGTTCCGCAACTGTCTGCATTGAAGTGCAACACCTCAGTAGTAGCTTATGAGAAAAGGGGATAAGGAGGGATTAAAAAGATAGAGTGAGAAGTAAAGATTGAGAAAGAGAAGGATGGAAATACAATCGATGGAGCCCGAGGACGGGGTGCCACTCAGCGAGAGCTTAAGGGCGTCAGGAGATGTCGGAGGGCGAACCGGTCGGCCAGAGCTGCCCCGTCACAGCTGCGAATTTCCTCCTGCCTCCCGGACAAGAACGTGTTCTTACGATCAAGTCACAAGACATTCCAGATGGTGACGCAGTGATTGTTCTTAGCCAGCGCTGCATTTTTCGAGGGATCACCATCGCATCTTCTTTATTGCGGTTATCACGTGGTTATTCAAGCATCAGCGCCTGCAACACGACGCCAGAACTACCGTTGCCAGTATTCTCGATGAAGAAGCGGTTTGTGTCGTCACTGGTTCATCTGCTTCATAATTCTGAAATGTATGTCAGCGGAAGAGTCATCTTTTGCTCTAAAGGACACATTATGTAAACATCTCGAAACAATACAAACTGGTGCCTTGCTAGCGTTATTAATGAAGCACGAAACTTGCTTCGACGTTTGTTCCGAAGGTCTGGGTCAAACAACAGTGGCCGCTCATCGTATCAACACTGATGTATCTGGTGTCATTCTACGCCGCCTTTACCATGTGCCAGCTTCTGAACGCGAGCTTCTAGAAGAACAAGTCAACGAAATGCTCGCGCGCAACGTCATCAGGCCTTCGACAAGCGCATGGTCTTCCCCTGTCGTATTAGTCAAAAAAAAAAAAAAGGATGGCTCGCTACGATTTCGCATCGATTACAGAGCACTCAACAAAATTACTCGTAAGGAAGTCTACCCAATGCCTCGCATTGACGACGCTCTTGATACTTTACAAGGTGCCGAGTACTTTTGAAGTCTCGACTTGCGCTCTGGGTATTGGCAGATTCCGATGTATGAGTCCGATAAATAGAAGACGGCGTTTGCTACGCCAGATGGGCTCTTTGAATTCAATGTGATGCTTTTTGGCCTATGCGACGCTCCAGGCACATTCTAACAAATGATAGACACGGTACTGCGTGGATTGAAATGGAAGACCTGCCTTTGCTACCTGGACGACATTGTCATCTTTTAATCCAGCTCCTCACAACACCTGGAACGGTTAGACGAAGTCCTCACGTATTTAGCTAAGGCCGGTCTCCAGCTCAACACTAAGAAGTGTCGCTTTGCCAGTCACCGCATCAAGGTATACTAGGTCACGTCTTCAGTAAACATGGCATTGTGCCTGATCCCGACAAGGTTGCCGCGGTATTGCACTTTCCTGCACCAACCACACCCGAAGACACCTGCAGCTTCCTTGGTTTGGCGTCGTATTTCCGCCGCTTTGTGCGTGGTTTCGCTACTATTGCGGCTCCTCTGCACAAACTTCTGACCACGAGGGCACCCTTTGTCTGGTCAGATGACTGCGAAGCCGCTTTCCACACCCTCAAGTGATGACTCACATCACGGCCAGTGCTTCGCCATTTCGACCCTGCCGCACGCAAGTGGACTTGGCATCGGTGCTGTCCTCCTTCAGCGGCACCACGCTTTTAAGGAAGAAGTCGTGGCCTACGCGAGCCGTACTCTTTCACCGCTGAGCTAAATTAGAGCATCAATGAACAATAATGTCTCGCCATCGTGTGGTCCGTAGAAAAGTTTCGCCCTTATTTATACGACCAGCAATTCACACTAGTGACTGACCATCATGCTTTGTGTTGGTTATCATCTCTCAAAAATTTGTCGGGACGCCTTGGTCGTTGGGTATACTACAATTGCAAGAGTATGACTACAGCGTTACATATAGGTCGGGTCGGCAGCACCAAGATGCCGACGTTTTGTCGCGTTGCCCGCTCTCGCTAAGCGCCCAAGTGTCACCTTCCATCTGTTCGTCACCGCCCACCCAAGTGACCAAGCAGACAGCTTCTGGTTCGAAAGAGTTCGTCGCCTCAGCGGACCTCCTTTCATCCAGAGATCTCGCCTCGCTCCAACATGCCGATATCTACTGCCACACAATCATTGATCGGCTCACTGGCATCTCGCGTGCTCCAAACAGCCGCCTAAGACGACAACTTGCCCGTTTCAAGCTTCAAGATGGAACATTATGTCAGCAAATTTACCGTCCTCTCGGTAACCAATGGGTTCCCGTCATTCCTAGCTCACTTCGTCAAGAATTTTCACAAGCGTTTCATGACGATGCGACAGCTGGCCACTTAGGGTTCTACAAGGCTTACGGCTGCCTCAAGACTGCCTGCTTTTGGCATGGCCTCTTCACCTCGGTCGTCAAATACATCGCTTCCTGCGCGTCATGCCAGCACCGAAAACGTACCACGTCTCTTCCCACGGGGCCATTGCAACCACTGCCGTGCCCGTCCACTCTCTTTGAATTCGTGGGCATAGACTTATACGGACCTCTCCCACTTCAGCCGACCAGTCACCGTTGGATTGTTACTGCCGTAGATTACCTTACTCTCTACAGGGAGACGGCAGCTCTTCCGTCTGGTGCCACGTCTAAAGTCACCAATTTTTTCCTTCGCGCCATTATTTTACGACATGGCACACCGCGCATGCTTCTTAGTGACCGTGGCAAGACATTGATCTCTATGTACGTTCTCTATGTACGTTCAATGATCTTTATGTACGTTCAACTGGATCACAAAAACTGGGACACTATATTTCCTTTTATCACGTTTGCATGTAAAACCGCCATACAGCGTACGATGAATTACTGACCCTATTTTCTCGTGTTTGGCCGTACACCGACTTTTGTTCTGAACACCACCATTTTGTCCACCTCTTCCATTCCATCTTCATCTCTCCTGGAAGAGTTCACCACTCGCGTCACCCGCTGCCGTGAACTTGCCCACGCGAACACTGCTACCTTCCAGGACAAGAGGAAAATCGACATTGGTGCAAAGCGTCGAGTTGTGTTCCGCCCAGGCGACGAAGTCCTTTTGTGGACACCTGTTCGTGCACCTCCATGGGCTCTGCGAAAAATTCCTTCACCGATATCTCGGTCCCTGTACCATCCTGGAACGAACACCTGACGTCAACTATCTCGTTGCTCCTGTCAACGCGGCTCTTGATCGTCGTCGCCGCAGCACCCAGATCGCCCACGTCTCGCGACTGAAACCATTCATTCGGCGTGCCAACTTTTCTAACTTGCTGCCCTCTTTCGCGAAGGGGGCAAAATAGTGTGAGCGCTGACTATGTACTTCATCTTCATCTCTATATCTGTATGACCAAACCATTGTAGTGATCATCATCGTCTGTCACACGGGATTTGGTGCTTTCGCTCATGCATCTCGATTAAAAATATAACCTGGTTACGGCCGTACCGGACGTGGTCTCATATATATATATATATATATATATATATATATATATATATATATATTGTTATGCCTGCGAGTCCGCAGCGAACGTCCATGCCTCGGAAAAAGGAAATCTGTGTCAAGGCCAGCACGCGAGCCCGCCCGACGCGATCAACAACTCAACGGCGTCAAAACGCGA